TTGGGGGGGGGGAGAAGGAGGAGTGAGAAGAGTTAAGTCACATTTGGAGGCCAGAGATGGAGCAGAATTCCATGAGCAACATCTGGAATTCCAACTGCATCATGTAGGCCAGACACACAGCGGGACACAGCAACGAGGGGATGGGGGATGGGGGTTGGTTTGGATCTCTTTAATTGGCTTTTTTGACTACATCAAGGTCACAGTAAAGGATATGTAAGGAAGAAAATCATGTGTTTTTGCAGTTTTCTTTCCCCTCAGCAGGTTTCAGTATATAGTCTTTATTCGTGTGTGATGTTTTTCTCGCTAAAAGCGTTTCCTTGACCTGCACACAAGTCAGACATTTAACTGTGGGTGACTATTTAATGTTTTCTGTCTTCCCCAGCTGATTCTGCAGAGCGAAGAAAAGAATTGCCTCAGCATAATTCTTCCCCACAGTCCTCTCTTTTCACATCTCTCTGTGTGTAACTGGAGAGCTTTTCTTCACTGTCTGCGAAATGACTCACTTCTTTTTCACAAAGCCCAACAAAAGACCACACCACAATGCCCCGGCCTCTTCCAACCATCTCCACTCCTCTGGCTCACATTTCACCCAGATAAATAAAAAGGTAATTTCTAGTCCCGATTCCAATGTTACTGTCCACTTTCTACAGTAGCTGAACTCCAAACATAAACTCCTCCTTGCCAAGTGCCTCCCATCACATCCACCAATCTCAGTATCTCATCTCTTTGTCTGCATTAGGCTCTACTCAAGACGTCATTAACAAGCTCCTTTTATGTCCCTGTCTTTCTCTGTGCTGGACACTTCCTGTGCCTGTTTCAGTTGGCATATGTGTAGCCTGCAGGCTGATGAATGGAAACTTCTAAACAGGGGAAGTCCTGCTCATGGCTATTGTGTCCTATAATAGCCAACCCGAACCTCATACTGTAATTGCAGGACTAACCAAGAGTGAGTAACTTTCCCATCAAATGAGAATGAATGATTAACAGAGAATAGTTGCTCTCTGCCTGGTAACAAGGATGTGGGATGTAGGAAAGGGAAACTTCTTAAAGGGAACTGGTGAGTGGCTATATAGGTTACACATGGTCTTCATTTGCGTCAGTTAAAGCTCTGCCACATCCTGCACCAAGACCTGATACAAAAAACACGAACAGAGGGTCCCTCTCTGGAGTCTCTATCTGTTACTCACACACACACATACACAGATAGGACGTAAAGAGCTCACGCTGCAGTGTTAGCTTCCTCCATTAAAGAGCAGAAGTGGTTGCCTTTTGTTTGTGAGCAAAAGATTTTCAGAACAAATGGGAAGGTCTGACATGATTTGAACCAACCTATACTCAAAAACCTTACAAATAGATGTGTCCATTTTGTAGTGTTTTTGTCAATTATACATTGTAATACATAATTATACATGTACCCATTTAGTATTTAGCAATGCCATAACAATTTGATTTGATATGAACATTTGACATAATAAGCACTGTTGTGATATAATGATATACAGTGATGACAGTGAACAGAGTGACTAACCTTTTTCACAGCACATGCTCTGCCCGGTCACAGCAGCAAAAGCACAGGTTTAACCAGTACAACGAATCGCCTGTGGTTCCCTGCTATGACACATTGCTGTGAAAGGTCTTGGTGGTGCCTTCTTGCTCTCCTATTCAAGTGCTTTCTTGTTCCATTGATTTTAAAAATAGAAAACACAGTTTGAACTTTAAACAAGGTACCACACAGTCTGGACGGTTGCAAGAGCAGTCTCTCTCTCTCTCTTCACTACACACACACACACACACACACACACACACCACACACACAGGTTTTACTTGTGGTATACCTGAAGAGGGATCAATAACCTAATACTTTTTTCCGTTGTGTCTGCATCTTATTATTCCATTTAGCTACACATGGAGCTATGCGTGGAAATTATTTTCCCCATTACCCAAACATAACTTTTGTGTGTGGCCAGATGCCCCCAATCTCAGTGTTGTTCGTTGTATTGTGTATTTTTTACACTGTGATCTTAGCCATGCAGTTCTGCCAGTGTCTGCCCCCTCAGTGGCTGAGCTGCTTAAGGCTACCAGCTTATGAGCTACGTGCCTGCTTTTGTTACACTTAAACAATGTCTGCACTTTGAATTGGGTGTGGGTGCGGTGGGAGCCGTCTCTTTTTGAGGAGGGAGGTATGTGTGGGTGAAAAAAATACAGGGTGCAAGGAAGTTTAAACAAACAACATTTCAACTTCTTTAAGGTTGCTTTTTTTTCCCCCGAACCCCTGTCTCGGCCATATCCGCCGTGGTTTCCCAAGCCCCGCAGAAAAACACTTCTATCAATAGGAGATCTGATTCAGGCTTACAAAGCCCAGCTCCCTTGCCCTGACCCAGCCGTATCCACAAGGAAACCCCCCTTGCTCGCTCAGAGCCTGGTCAGGATAGTGGCATCTAAAATATTACACAGTGTGCTGTCCTGAACTCCTAATGTGATTATTATTGTATTCCTCCTCTCAAGCCTCCCCACATCTCCTGCAGTCTGTTAATGAAGTATTATACAACCTCCATGCTTGGTTATTCTCTTTCTCTCATCCTCCTCTCTTCCCTGCAACACTGCACATCTGGTTTCCATACAGCCACATACATGTCATCCACAAAGATGAGGAGGGGGGAGGAAGAGCGGGAGGGGAAGGTGTGTATGTATCAAGGAAGCTTGAACTTCCAAGGAGTTGTTAAGGCTGACTGCAAGAGATATCGCTGCCTTTCATCATCTCTCCAAACTCTTCTCACATATGTTTTTCTGACATGGCCAGCTTCCCTTCAGTTAGACTATAGGAAAGTCTATAAGAGCACTATGCATGTGTGAGGAGAGCAACAGCGAGGGAAAATGGCTAATAGGTACAGACAGAAAGAAAAACTCCAAGTCAGAGGAGAGTCAAGAGGAAAGTCAGTGAGACATGCAGAAGATCAGAAAGGCCACATCAGAGGTTGCCTTTAAGTGGAGCTAGTGGGCCAATGCTCGAGTTCCTCGTGCTGGACACCAGACCTTGTGGTTACACTGAGGAGGGGAGCGTGGGAGGAGAGAGCAGGCGAGGGGGGGCTGCTTACAGAGCGAAAACTTATTGTTTTTACTGCCCACTCATCAGCATAAGAGGCCTTGCTCAGCTGACTGGACGGTCATGGAGGCCTTTAGCATCTGACCTGAGCTCTGCACCAGACACAGGTGGTCTGCTTGTGACACGGTCACTCATATGTTTCGTGAAAGACACTACATTGTAGAAAATTTGTTTTGAGTCATCCCTTCATCCTGTGGAGCACAGGGCTGTCCAGCTGTTAGATTTGCGGGGATCTTATACCAAATGTGGCATTCCACAGAACTGGGCAGGTCCTCACAGAGCTGCAGAGGCAACTGGAGGTGAAGCAAGAAGATCTGAACACTAAGACTACAGACATAAAGAGACTGATTCCAAACCCCCAAATAAGTGAGTACTTTGATTTGATCCTCTGTGATCATCTGGATCACAGTCCAAAGTCTAAATCATATTTAACTTAGCAGCTGCTGTCACAACCTAAAATATCAAGTTTGTTGCTGCTGTATCATCCTCAAATGTAATTTCTTATTGCCCCTCTGAGTTTGACACACAATACACTATATACAGGGATATATGATATATATGCTTTTTGTGATAGTGTTGCTATAGCGACTTTTTAGATGAAAGTTTAAAAATGTATTTAGTACAGTCTAGATCTGCAACTATTACTGAAATGAAATGAGTAATGAAAACCTTTGAAACACTGTAACCTTATCAAAAATATGAATTCAGTCTGTTTACATAACCTTTTTAATCAAAACAAATTGTTACTGTATGTGTGACAATTTGAGCGTTTAATGTGCAAAACGTCTTTATACTTACCTGAAAGTTGTCTTTAATATACAAGGTACGATGTATCGCATGTCTGTGACGTTATTTGTAAAACCAGATATTTGCTGGATGTTAAATTATATTAATTTACCTTTAAAATGGAAATGTACTGTGGGCTTTTGAGGCTCCTGTGATATAGTAGAAATGAAAATCAAGACTGCAAAATGTGTACTGAACAAGAATTATCAAAAATCTTAAATAGAAATATTTTCAAATATAGCACAAATACTTGTGTATTCCCAGTCAGTGTAGCTTAGAGAATTGTGGAACTAAAAAAAGTAAATGGTCATTTAGTCTTTAATGCTGCAGACTGGTGAGACATTTCTGAGGAAGTAAAGCCAGTGAAATTCACTGCATGTTTGTTTGTTTCAGTTTTAACGATCATTGAGCTGCAAAATGAAATATGGGGCTTTCAGAAAAAGGCTGCCGATGAGACCACGAGTGGCCGTATAGAATGTAAGTTTTATTTAAATGCCAGTGCCAGTGAAATTATTGGAGAAATTAAATTACTGACAAAATATGGTTTACATTAAAAACTCATTACTTTTTCCTAGCGTTGCAAAACAGAGTGGATGGCCTTATGACTGAAATAGACGACACAGACGACACAAAACTGAGTGAGTTTGAAATAACTGTCAAAAGAACGTTTCATAGACAAGTTGTGCTTTCTTTCTTCTTTGTTGTTGGTCCTATTACAGTATTTTTTTAATTAAACTACATTATCACCCTCTCTGTCGTAATGTTCTTCAGTCCTGAAAATCATAAACGTGCAGAGTCAGGCAGAGCAGCTGAAGAGACAGTTGTTAGACCTCCAGAAGTTAGGAACCACTCAGGCTACCCGTAAGTATCTCCAGCAAACCTTTACAAATCCCTAAACAAGCTAATTGTGTCCTCCTGCCGAGGTTATTTGTAATATCGATACTGCTGTACCCTGATGTACGATACCCCTGCATGTAACTAATAAATGTGTTTGAACTTCTTTAAATTTGTCCCAGAACTCAGAAGTGATCTTGAGACGACAACGAAAGAGCTGCAGAATTATGTCAACGTGCTGAATGAGAAGAATCAGACAAATGCCAGACTGAGTAAGTAAAAAGGGTGCCTGCGTTCATCATTGAGAAATAGTACATCTCACAATAGATTATTTCTGTGTTTCTCAGTTCTTACAGTCACTGATCTGCACAAACAACTCAGAAACCTAGAAAGAGAAAAGCAAAGTGACGGCCAAGCAGCTTCTGCTACAATTACCAGTGAGTGCCTCATTCCCCTTTGACATTATTGAATTCATATATCAGCAGTAGCTCCCTCTAAAGCTGAAGCATCTTACTTACTTCATCTTACTCTTTCCAGAGCTGAGAGAGCAGCTGAAGGAAAAAGTGGAGGAGCACTCTCGTGATCAGGCTGAGATCGAGGGTAAGTTCACCTCTAGCACGTGTAGGTTTCTGCAACAAGAAATGAAAAAGAAAATTAAGTTGAATATGAATGTGTTTTTGTACCAGCTCTGCAGAATCAACTGAACCAGACAGAGGCACAGTGTTCCAATTTTGAGCATAAACTTAAAGGTGAGTGTACTTGTTACCTTATGACCCCACAGTGGGAAATCAGTGGGTTTATTGTCTACTTTAAAACTTGTTGTTTAAAATGGGAGAGTCTTTGCATCTTTTTCTGTTTAGCAAATGATTTGATCAATATTGCACCAAACTGCTTTAGAGCTAAATCCAGTTAAAGTATGGAAGGAAAAGCAGAGGGAATATCACTCAAAATCTTGCATATCAACCCCTCTGTATTCAAACTTGTACAGGACAGCTGATGCCTTAATGTGTGGCTTTTTACTGTCCTCTGGCTACCCCTTTAAGTCACAGATAGCTTACTGGGGGAGCTAGACGAATCATTTAATAGATGGGTACAGTGATCTTACTCATCTCAATGACTGACAATATAGACTGGAACAAGTGTTTTCATTAATTTGATGTCAATGTCAAATGTCAATATTGGGGAAAATACATATGGTCATTCACTTCATTAAGGGGAAAAAGTGCTCTTCACCTTGTCAAATAATTAACAAACGGTCAATCAATTTGGGGGGGGGGGGGTTCTTACATGTATGACAGTATCATCTGCATAAAGTGAAATAAAAAGGGGTGTGTTATGGGCAACGTTTGGTTCATGTGATTGCCAGATAGCCTGCACAAGTGTCTGGAAAGGTGAAGCCATTAAGAAGGGGGAGAGAGGGCAATGCTAGATCGCCAGATAGATAAGAAGATAGCCAGTCTTGCTGAGCAGATGCTGCTTGTTGGATGAGCATAAAGAAACTTGTATCTTAGAAATAAATTATTCACACTCCTCAGATCATGCTATTTAAGGTGTTTAAATCTTTCTTCTTGTTCTGTCTGTGGATCTTGTAGATCTGCAGAATGACTTGGATGCCAAAATGAACGAACTGCAGTCCAAATCTGACACTGTTACTTCACTTGGTGAGTGTTGGAGCTGTGTTACCAAACAGCGAATCGGTTGATTGATTAATGATTCACTGATAATGGATGGTGGAAATTGATTTCATTTGAACATAGTTGGTTCATTTTCTTTTTTATTAAATGTGGTTCTTTCAGCTCTTCAAATTTCTACTTTAACTCTGCAACTGGAGGAGCTAAAGAGACAACAACAGAACACTAAATCCGAAACCAAGATCAAAGGTCAGTGTGTGTGTTTCATTGTCACCATATAATTTGATGTTGTCCATACATCCATATATTCCATCACTGCTTGATATAAAGTATATACCATGTAAGATATTTAATTTCCATGTTGTTTAAATTTAGCACTCCAATGTGTGCACACAGTTTAGAGATTAGTGACAGATAAACATCTAAACAGTGATGTGAGGTGTTATTCCTCTTAAAAAGAACAGACAATATCCCAGTCTTTTTTTGTTTTGCAGAACTTCAAAAAATAATAGAGGAGAAAACCAATGAGCTGGACAAGAAAACAGAGGAGCTAAAAGCGAGAAGTGCTCAACCACAAAGACGTGAGTAGAACATGATTAACAACCTAGTGAAAAACCAAAATCACTGAATTATGTGTACATAGTTGAGATGGGAAGTTCTACATGCTGGAATATGATGGTCAATCTTTAACCCTTGTTCTAGTTCTACAGATTATTACAATACAAACAGAGATTGAGAAACTGGCAAATGTGGCAACAACTGACGCAGATTACATTAAAATTAAAGGTGAGTGACAGAATCTTGTTCATATATGCTAAGGACCCTAGAGCAATAACAGTTTATAATATAATATTGAATAAACCATAGAAACACTGCATGTGCTCATATGGAATTCTCTTGCAGCACTAACAGACCAACAGAATCGTCTGATTGATGGAATTCAAGATGAAAACAATGAAAATACCAAACTGAGTGAGTCGTCATCACAATGACAACAAAGTGTAATCATCACCATCATTGTTGGTCATGGTCTTACGTCCACTGAATTGATCTAATCCAGCCTTTCCTCTGTTAGTGTTTAAAATCTTGGCTCAACAAGAGGAAATAGTAAGACTGAAGAAGCAAAACGAGACTCAGGCACAAGCTGAATTGGAGAAAATAAAAGGTGAGAAGCTGCATGTCGTCAAGCCAAATGTACACCTCTGAATACTTGTTCATACATTCATACAAGAAATAAAACATCCTGTCTTTCTCAAAGATCTGGAGAATGAACTGGAGGACATCAGGACTCAGATAAAAGATAAGACTCTGGGGCTGGACTCCAGTGATATGAGGATTGCTAATTTGTGTAAGTGTTCTGCTCAGTTTTGGTCAGAACCCCCCCCCCCAGAAATATATAATTGCATCAGAACACTAACACTAACACACGTTTTTTAGCGGCTCAGATTATGGAACTTCACAAAAAAATTAAACCATTGGAAGATGAGATATCATACCTCAAAGAAGAAAATGCTGAGAATGTCGAAGGTAAAAAACTAAATGTGACATTACATTGTAACATGTCGTGAGGTGATACATACACTGATTTAGATTTATTGATGTTGTATTTCCTTGATCTCTAAATTATTTTCAGAGCTTCAAAAGAGACTGGATTTATCAAACAGGCAACTGCAAGACAGTGAACTTAGACTCAAGGAAGCGGATGCACTGAATTTTAACTCGAGTATGAAAACTTCTTATTTGCTGATGTTTCTACTCATGTTATGGTTTTATTTAAGCACAAAGTAACACCGTGTCTGTGTCCGTGTCTGTGCTAGTAATGGAGATTGCTGATCTGAGGGCCAAAGTGAAAGAGGCTCGTAAACTGGGGTCCAGAGTTGCTAAACAAAATATAAACGGTTTGTCAATTTGTTATAATGTCTAAACTAAATCATCTGTATGTTTTGTAAAACAAACATCTAACAAACTTACTTTATCTGTAACTTGGTTGGTTTTTTTGTACCGTTGTGGTCGTTTCAGAATTGGAACAACAAATACAAACACAACAAAGGGAGAACAAAAAACTTGAAAACACAAATAAAGGTATGTCCTATACACTGCAATGTCTTAAAGAGATATTTTGACCATTTGGGAAATACCCGTGTTTGCTTTTGCTAGGAAAGGCTAGCCAGGCTCTGTCCAAACTTGTGTGTTTTTATGGGGGGTTATATGTGAAGACCTGCCCTACCCGGCCTCTGATTGGCCTTTGTTGGTTTGGTTGGTTAAGCTCAGGGTAGCCAATCAGAGGCAGAATAGCAGCGGGTCTTTGTAGAATAAATAACGCTTGCCTGGAACGGAAACTTGCCAATGGTATGAAATGGTATCCACTTCCTGTTTCCTAAGTGGGCGTGGTCGCCTCTCTTCCGGCTTCAATTGGAAGTGTTGTGAAGGTCATGTGGGTTGATGAAGCAGAGTGGGTTGTGCATGCATGATGTTGTCAGTAGATAACAAACTTTAAAATAACCTACTAACTTAGAACTGTCTCTGCCAACATAGATATGTGTTGCCAGATCTCACAAGAGTGTCAGAATGTTGGGAAGATGTTCAGCTTGCAACAAATGGGTCCTGTGTTTACTTTGGTGACTTTGGGGCGAAGGAATTGGTCATAATCTGTGCTCATGTGACACAGATACAGGAAATTATGCTTAAGTGAATTATCTCCTTTCTAAATGGTCTCTGGTTAGGTTTAGTCATGAGGAGTGAGATTGGTTGGGCTAGGGAATGAATAGGGTAGGCCAATCAGTCTTTTGTTACCCCTGGACAGAGTCATGCTAGCCATTTTCAAGTCTTTGTGCTAAGCTAAGCTAAGCTAAGCTTCACATTTACCATACAGTTATGTGAGCGGATTTAATCTTCTCTCTTACTGCTGGCCACAAAGCCAATAAGTGTATTTCCCAAAATGTTGCACTATTCTTTTAAAACTTGTTCTTTTCACTTCGTGTTTGATACATGCCAACGTTTAAACCTCCTTTCTCTGTTAGACCTAAAGCAAGAGATCAAGGAACTGAAAATGTGCTGCAATGATGCCAACACCCAGTGTGACGGTGAGTTCCTCAATATGACCTCATTATTACTCTACACACACAGCTGTCCTTGAGATCCAGCAAGTCATTTGATGTAATTTTTGAACTGAATATTTCATCAAAAAGATTTACAAAGACAACTGCAACAGAGCCAGGAGGATGCAGATCGCCTACAGCAGCAGCTGCATGAGAAGGATGCAAACCTCAAACAGCTGCAGCAGGAGTTGGAAAAACAGACCACAGAGAATAACAACCTGCAGCATGAATACAGCAGTAAGTTCACCTCTCTGTCCAAAGGCAAAATAAGTACATTCAGTCAGTATATATTAGAGGAAAGGCAAGAAACCAGTGTAATGGTGGGATCATGTATCCTACAGCTATAATGTGTCATTTGATGTCATTTTTCTAACCATGAATCTCATCAAACAGACTTAGAGAGACAACAGCAACAGACCCAGGAAAGTGTAGATTTCCTACAGCAGCAGCTACATGACAAGGATGCCAGCCTCAAGCAGCTGCAGCAAGACTACTACAGTATGTTCAACCCTCTGGAAGTGCTGCCCACACACGCAATAAGTAGATTCATTCACTATAATAGAGGAGAGGCAATAGTGATTCTTGATGAAATGTATACATTTTTCTTTTCTATCTCAATGCTAGGCCTGCAAGATGAAAAGGACAAACTTGAGAACGATTTACAAGGTAATTATTGTGCTGTTCAGAAAAGTGCAGAGTTCTAAGTTCACTAGAGTTCTAGTGCAAACTAAACTGCACTGCTCTTTCTCTCTTCTCAGAACTTCAAAACAGAGTGGCTGATGTGGACGATAAGACGATCCATCCCAGTGAGTCAAACACACAAGAGTTCATTTCATCTCGCAATTTTTCAGTCTGCAGAGTCTTTGCTATTTCTATTTAGTGTTGACATTTATTGATTCAAATATACAAACCTGCACGCACACATTGTATACAACAGACTTGTCAGATACTGTTTAAACTGTATGGATGACTTAATTTTAGACACTGAGGTCAGTTTACTGGTCATACCTAGAACCGCTCAGCCTGTCAAGTCTGCTTACCAGACAGGGTCTAATGAAAGATGCTGTCCAGTTGCATTATGGGAAAAGCAGGATCCAGTGTTGTGAAGCTAGACCAGTGCCAGGGGTCAGGATATCTCAGCTTCTTCTGCTTCAACTCTGACTGTGTATTTAATCTGTCTCTTGTGACTCCCCCACACTTTATGAAAGTGACATACTAAATCACTGCTTTAAACATTTAATGTCAATTTCCTCTCAAATTGTGATGGAAAGATGGGATATAATCTACTGCGTTTCTCGGTTTTCAGGGAAGATGACCTTTGATCCAAACACAGCAAACCCAAGAATAGCTCTGTCTGCAGATAACAGTGAGATGACCACTAGTATTGAAATACAAGATGTCCCTGACCATCCAGGCCGGTTTGATGTGCTTCTCGCTGTCCTGGGCAAGACTGGCTTCTCAACGGGGAGACAGTACTGGGAGGTGTCTGTAGCTGGGAAGCGTTGTTACCACATTGGGATGGCCAGTGAATCTGCTCCAAGAAAGGGATCAGTAACATTCAGTCCAGCAAATGGTTTCTGGACTATAATCCTGAACAAACAGGGCCAGTACCGAGCTATTGACAGGAGATCAGCTACAATTCCAGTTCAGGTGCAGCCTCAGACACTGGGCATTCTGCTGGACTACAAAAATGGACAGATCTCTTTTTACGACGCTGGTACCAGATCTCATATGTACTCATTTGTAGGTCAAAGGTTTACAGACAAAATCTATCCATTTGTCAATTTTTGTGTTGAGGAACTTGAAATTCAGACTCCAATTGTGTTACTCACTCCTGGAACAGTTGACTGGATAAAATAGGACAGGGCAAGTTAAGTTTTTTTCCTGTGTGTGAAATCTTAGCCATGTATTTCATTTATAGTTATGCCAGTAGGCAATACGCAATCCCAATGCCTGCAGAATAGTTCTGTTATTACTGCTGCTGAATGTTTCAGACAATAAAACAACAAATATACAATGCTGCATTTTGTTTATTCCTTCATATTTGAAAAAGGATTTGTCCTCTTGTCTATGTCAGTCCAGGTGTTTTAGTCACTAGGCCCAGTACAGAAACAGTCAGTTAACATCTTTAGCCAGATAACAGTTAAACCTGTTTATTTCAAGTTCACACCATTGTGTCACTAAATGGCGGAGCTTCACCAATGATGAAAGCATCGAGCAAAAAGTTCTGAACTTTATAAAAAACTGGTATAATGTGTGATGCAGCACTGGAGAAACCAGTGCGGGAAACAGAATAAAAACAGCTTATATTGAATGAACACGTCTGTTCTTACAATGAAATGGTTTACCTTCAATAATAAGTCCCATCACAGCTACACAAACATTTCCTCTCAAGAGTACTATCTCAGCTCTAACACACATTTCCCACTATGTCACCTCTTTAACACATTTTGTTGTAATCATTTGCTTTTCAATCCCACTGCAAACATTGCTCAGTCTCTTCCTGCTGTGCCGGCTACACTCCTATAAAAGTGGGCAACAAAAACTGGGTCCCACTCCTCCAGCATGTGCAGGAAATGATTCCTCTCCTCTTCTCCCCAAGACTCAAACCACTGGGTCCACAGGCGCAGCTGGCATTCAAAGATGTTTGGTAGTCTGTCTTTAACCTTGTCAGGGTACACAAAGAGAAAGCAGACGTTAAAGGTTTGACATGACATATCACACACACACACACACACGTTAGGATGTGACAGAGCAGAAAGTACCTGAAGAGTACTGAGTGAATCTAGGAGGGTGCACACTTTCCCAGGCACAGCTTTCCCCAGAAGGTCCTGCAGGAACCGCTCCCTCTGACCGGCGGTCCAGCTCTGGAACCAGCTCAGGACGCACCGCTGCTCCTGGAGGCTTACATAGGAGATGGGCTCCGGGTCTCTCACCTGCCGTGCACTCGGAGAAGAGCAAGACAGCTTCTCGAGGCTGGGAGGGCTGGCTACACCCTGTGGAGCTGATGGAAAGTCCTCCGGGCTGGGACTGGAGCAGCCGGTCCAGTGTTGTGTTGCCATGGTCGGTGAGCCCTCTGTCGGACCCCTGAGCCTGGAGTGGAGAGTACTACACAGGGTGTCTGTGAGTCTGTGGCTGTCAGTGGGCTGCTGCTGTAGCTGCTGCTGATTTGAGCCTTGACTGACATGATTGAACCACGACATCTTTGAAAATACAGGTTTGTGTCAGCCTGAGAAAAGCCAGTTATTCCCCTGCTACGAGTTAATCCGCAATGCCAGCTGCCGAGAGAGATTCCTCTGGTCTGGGTAATGTTAACATGTAGCTTAGCGCAGCGTTATATGTGGACAATGCTACCGTCGGAGTCAAGCGTCACAATAACTGCTTTTAATATGAATAGTTGCAAGTACCCATCTCTTTTTTTATTTTTTTTTATTTTTTTTATCGTAAATTACCTTACTGTCAGCATTTTTAAAGTGCAGTGATGTCGAACGACAGTCGCGCTGAGCTTTCTAACGAATATATACAGGAAGAGAATGCGGCTAATTAGCCTCGTTGTGTAGGAAATCAAGGTTGCGCAGATTTTGCGCAAATAATGTTTTTGACAAAATAAAAATATTAAAATCGTAATTTGTGTATCATGTGTAAAATAAATACATTTAAGGGTAAATGAGTGAATTCTGTGTGTCATTGGCTTTAATTATATTATACTGATTTGATATTTGATTAGGGGGGAAGTCGTCGACGATGACGCCGGGTGGAGGAAGGCGTTGCTCGTCGCTCTCGCTGGGAACCGACTAGAGGAACGGAAAATGGCGGATCTCGAAGACGTTACCCTGGACGGGAGACCGCTCCAGTCCCTTCGAGTAGCAGATTTAAAAGCTGCTCTTGAGGAGAGAGGACTCTCGAAAAGCGGGCATAAGAATGCTCTCATTAAAAGGCTCAAGGGGGTAAGTTGTGCTGCGATATAACCGCGCCACGGTTGCTGCGAGCTAACGTTAACGATGAGACGGGCTGATGCTCTCTCGAGGGCCGACAACTGAGTATCGTTACTGCCGTGCAGCGTAGTAGAGTTGTCGAGGCTAACGACCAACAATCGCCGGAAACGTGTGTATTTGCACTGCACTGTGATTGAGCAGTGTTTTCGTTGTGCAGAAACATACCGACCGTAGCAAGACCGTGAGTTCAATAAACTTACTGGCTAATCTCAAAGTGTGAGTCGGGTGATGTTGTCCTGTTAGCTCGTTAGCTCCCCACGCTAACGCAGTGACTTGAGCGGTGGCCTGGCTTGTTTCTGTGTTAACGGTGTCTGTCCCAAGCGCTGCTGGTGTTCAGCCGGGAGCTTAACGTTACACCGGTTATTTAGTGGCTCGACAACTTTCATCAGCTGGTTCCGTATGTCTATTTCACCTTGATGCGATGTGTTTTATGGGGCACATTTTACTGTATTCCGCCAAATTTAGGAATACTTTCGCTCCCGAATGTTTTCCTGGACTGTACGAGCCAGTTTGTTTACATTGCGACAAGTATTCAACTTAATCTGCCTCGCCTGCAAACTTCGGCCATTCTTTGCTCTTTTTTCTTAAACTGGGTTAATTACCATTTGTCTGCTGAATTGCGCCATGAAAGCAGCAAGTGGTGTTGACATTTGCATTTCTATGTTAAGTGTTTATTACCCCAGTGTAGCTTTGTAACTCGCCTGTGAAACCAAGACACTGTGTTATTTAGTTATAACGTGTAACACAACTTTCTTAATCCCTCTTTAAAATACGGACGTTTTTATAGCACAGTTGTTCCCACTTTAGGCCTGCGGGCCACCAACAGCAAGCCACTGACCTCAAATGGTCACATATTCGTTATTGGTTTATTTTATGTATTACGTGTTATTTGCAGTACTGCTTATCAATTCAGCACCCAATGAGATTGTACCATTATTAAGCATTACATTAGTGTATTGTTGTGTATATCCTTGTGTGTGCATGCAGGGGAAAAAACGTCCAAGCAGCCGAGTAGGAGGGATGCTGCATGGCTGAGTTTCAGGACTGAGATAGATCGATAGATTGAGATATATACGGATTAACATCATAGAATTTAAAATTAAAGTTAGATCCAGCAGGTTTTGCTTGCGACTTTGCCCACAGTATTCTCAGTCTGGTCTGCCTTTCACCACAGCCTGCAGGTTGTTTGACCCTTGTGATTCTTGCAATGTTACTGTGAGCTGAATCAAAGGCAAACTTTTTCATGCCTAAAAATATTAATAGGAGAGGAAGTGATGCTGAACAGTGGTAGTCCTATGAATAGTAACAAATACCTGCCTGTTACATCGAATGAATGAATGAAGTCTCTTGTCTTAATAACAGGCTCTCATGCTGGAGAATCTGCAGAGGACCTCCACTGCTCACATTGGATTGCAGCCAAACTCACAGGTAAGTGTCTCAAAGATGCTTTAATTTCAACGACTGAAGCCTCTTCACATATAATGACCTCTTAAGCATAAATGACAAATATGCATTAGCACAATCTTCACAAATGCACAAGTGTCCTTGAAGGCTTGTATCCTATATTTAATGGTCTCTCTGTATTCAGATTGGTGAGGAAATGAGCCAGAACAGCTTTATCAAGCAGTATCTGGCTAAACAACAGGAGCTCCTGAGGCAGCGTCTGGAGAGAGAGGCTCGCGAAGCCTATGAAACAAATGGTAAGTGTTGTTAAAATTCCTCTAAAGTTCCATTAAAGTTACTGTACACATGTCGGGTCATTATACAATACATTTGTGTAATTTTGTCTGTTTTGTCTTTTGTAAACAGATCAAGAGGACCACACAGAAGTTAATAACAGTACGTCATGCCCCCCTCAAGCCCAGGTCAGACATCACTATCTTTTCTTATCTATTGCAATAGGCCAAGTTCTCTGATCATTATTTCTGGAGGTTCTTTTTGCTCCAAAAGATGCCAATAGATGCCAGATCATTTACTTGAAAGAAAATGTGCATACTATGGTAAAATAAGTCTCACCTCCCCTTCTATCCTTATCAGGATGTCACACCAGCATTGGCTGAGCAGCACAAGCCACCTGGCCCCTCGAGTGGAGAGGGACTGTTGGCTGCCGTGAATGAGGGAGAGGCTAACAGCAACCAGGAAGCTGATGTGTCCGGTCCTCCTGCTTCTGGCTCTGTGGCCATGCGCGTTCCTGCTGGCGAGCAGCGACCAGCGAGGGGTTCTGCATCCAACGAAGTTGCCGCTGACAGCGACGACGAGGACAGCGAGGATGGCGAGGAGGATGGTGACGATGATGATTGGGACAGTGGCGCTCGGAGGAGAAGCCTCAGAGAGCCAGCCAGAGTGCCCACGACCAGAGAGAGGTCTGGAGCATCCTGTCAACCCCAGCAGCAACACATGCCTTCCCTGTTGTCCCCTCAACTCCGCCAGCCAACACCTCCTCCCTCCCCACCTCCAGAGTTATCCTTCCCCTTGCCTGACACCCCTAAACAGAGCCCCCCTAGTCCAGATGTAGCCCCACCTAGGCGCTCACCTAGTACCTCCAGCTCCGGTTCCTCCAGCAGCGGCAGCCGCAGTAGCAGCCCAGAGCCACAGAGGAGTGGACATGCCGAGCGCAAACCCGGCCCGCTGACCCTTCTGGCACGTAAGATGGCATCAGAAGGTGCTTTCTCGGGAGCAGGTTGGCACGGTGGCGAAGGCGATAGGCAAGACAGCAGTTCTCCTTCGGCTACGGCATTTCCTGGCAGAAGGCCTCCGGAGGGTCTGGTATCTGCCATCACTCACACAGCCAACAGTGCAGGCCACGTGTCGTTTCCCATGATTCCAGGCACCAACCAGGGTGTCACAGGAGCACATTTGGCCCATATTCAAGTACCTGTGAGTGTGCTCAAGGCCACTGCAACAGAAGACAGGGACAGAAAGAGGGATTCTGAGATAGAAAGAGAAAAGGCCCTTGAGCTGGAAAGGCAAGAGAAGCAGAGAAAATTTGAGGAAGAGCGGGAAAGAGCTCTTGCCCTGGAGAGAGAGGAAAGAGAGATAGCTCTGAAGAAGGAGAGAATTGAACGACAGCATGCCTTAGAGAGAGAAGAACGAGAAAAGGCTTTGCAGCATGAGAGGGAACTTGCTCTAGAACGAGAGAGGCAGGAGAGGGAACTAGCTTTGGCTAAAGAGAGGGAAGAGCGAGAGCACGCCTTAGCGCAAGAGAGGGCCCTGGAGCTTGAGAGGCAAAAGGAGCTCGAAAGACAGAGGGCCCAGGAGCAAGAACGTCTGCAGAGAGAAAAAGAGAGGGAGAAGCGAGAGAGAGAAGAAAGGGAAAGAGCAATGGAGCTAGAAAGAGCAAAGGTTTTGGAGCAGGAAAGGAAGGACAGAGAAAGAGCTCTTGAGCAAGAACGGTTAGAGAGGGAAAGAGTTCTAGAGGCTGAGAGAAAGGAGAGGGAGAGGATTGAGAGAGAAAGAGCTTTGGAGCAGGAAAGGTTGGAAAGGGAAAGGTTAGAGAGAGAGAAAGCCTTGGAGCAAGAAAGAATAGAGAGAGAGAAAGCCTTGGAGCAAGAAAGAATAGAGAGAGAGAAAGCCCTGGAACAAGAAAGAATAGAGAGAGAGAAAGCCCTGGAGCAAGAGAGGCTAGAAAAGGAGAGAGCCCTGGAGCAAGAGAGAATCGAGAGAGAAAAAGCCTTAGAAAGAGAGAGAATAGAAAGAGAAAAGGCTCTAGAGCAAGAAAGGCTGGAGAGGGAGAGAGCCCTACAACAAGAGAGGTTGGAGCTTGAGAGGAAGGAAAAGGAGCGAGAAAGGCTGGAAAGAGAGAGAGTCCTAGAACAAGAGAGGTTGGAGCTTGAGAGGAAGGAAAGGGAGAGAATTGAGAGAGAGAAAGCATTGGAGCAAGAGAGGATAGCGAGGGAAAAAGCCTTGGAACGAGAGAGGGAGGAAAAAGAGAGGCTGGAGAGAGAGGCTGCTCTGGAACAGGAGAGGATGGAGAAGGAAAGAGCTGAGAAGGAGAGGAAAGAAAGGCTGGAAAGGGAGAAAGCTCTAGAGCAGGAGAAACTTGAACGGGAGAGAGCCTTGGAGAAGGAGAGGGAGAAGGCTCTCGAACGCGAAAGGTTAGAGAAGGAGAAAGCCATGCAGAAAGAAAAGGAGGAGCAGGAGAGGGCCCTGGAACAGGAGAAAGAGAGGGCTAGGATGGCTGAAAAGGAGAGGGAGAGTCACCTCCCTCCATCCAAACGTGGCCGTGAGATTGGTCTCACCCCTCTGCCCACTCCTCCCCCCCTCTCCACAGGACCAGGTAGAAAGTCATCGACAGATGCAGGAGAGCAGGAAGATGCCCATGCTCCAATGTCCCGGAGTGAAGCAGCAGAATCCGGTGCACCCATGTCACCAACACCTCTGTCGCCTCAGTCCTCATTCAAGAAGTTCCGGTTCTTAAGGGACCCCCCAGTTCAGCCACAAGCTTCATCGACTTCCATGGTTATTAAGCGACCCCGTCATTTCTCTGATACCCCCCAGCCTCGGGCCAGTGTCGGGGAACGACACCAGACCCCCACCGAACGGGAAGGTCCGCAGATGCAGACGAAACAGGAGGTTGTTGCTGGGCCGCCAGGATCTGTGGGGACACAGCCTGAGAAGGAGACCACTGGTAGTACCACACTGGTCCAGAGTCCCAGCAAGGAAGGGGCCGCAAGCCTTGTATCGGAGGACAAAGAAAAAGCAGATTCAGTGAAGATGGAACAGGCTGCCAAAGAATCCACCATAAAAGTAAAAGTTGTGGATGAAAGCAAAGGTCCTGTAGGCCCAGTGGATGCTCCACAACAGAGGGGAAGAGATGCAAGGAAGGAAGAAAAACAAGCAAGACAAAGATCATCGTCTAATGATTCCTCTTCCTCTGACTCTGACTCTGGGTCCTCATCATCTCAGTCCTCGGGCTCATCCACATCTTCTCAAGAGAAAACCTGCTCCACTTCAAGAGTTAGAAGGGTAAGTGGTCTAAAAGGAACCTCTATGTCCCTGGCATCCAGTTCATGAGGCCAGTCCATAAAACAAGAACAGCCGCTTTGAAGGCCTTACAGTGTTAGAGCAACAAATCTTCACTTATGCATAATAGTGCCTTCATTATCAATATTTGTTGAAATCCACTCTGCTTGTTTTATTCACTGGGACAAACCTACGTTACAATACACATACAAAGAGGCAGGTTGGCTCTTGCCTTTCACATAATCTATAGTTTTCAGGTATGTTTAACACTCAGCAGAGCGCCCAGCTCTGATTGGGCAGGGGGTTTTTTGTGACAATGCCTCCATGATGAAAGGAGAACAGACTGATCATTGTTTACTAATCTCTGACAGTTTAGTACATTTTAAGCTAGTTTCTATGTTTCTGAAAGGAGGATTTTCAATAATTTCCCTGTGTTTAAGTGTTTAATACATTGGTGCCTGAATGTGCTATAGTTTGACACTTCTGCATACATTTACATAAGGTAAAACTAGTTTAGCACAGAATGGGCCTTTTTGCCTCTGAATGAGTGGTGTCCTGCCTCTTTTATCCATATGTCTGAATGCACAGTCAAGCTACTGTTGATAATAAACATTTCTTGGCTTTTACTGTGAATACACCTCTGGAGGATTTTTGTCAGTGCTGGCAAAGATCTCTCTAACAAAGTTTGAGATTATCTGCACAAAGCATGATAACAGAGTGGCTCAGAAAACAACAAGGACTAATGTCACAATAAGGAGGGTTTAGTAGTTCAGAGTTGGGTTTGTGACAAAACTACAGTGTCCGATAGAGCCATGCAGAAGTGCAGTGGTTAGATGAAGAGGTAAACAAATATTTAATAGTTTTTATAGCTAAGCTCTGTTTTTAATGTATGTATTTGTATACAACACCAGTTATCCAACGCAAGAAGTGGTGCTTGTATAACATAAGTCAGATGTGATGGCATATTTTCCCTCAACCAACATATGCCTGATCCGGATCAAGTAAACTAAAATAGAAAGAAGGTTCATTAAGTCATCATACAACGTTCGAATGCTCCGTTTGATGCCAGTTCTATTGAAGCTGAAGAGAGATCGGAGAAGCACACTTAAACCCAGCATATCTATTTCATATGTTCTTAGATGAATAAATGCCTCTACCAAGTGAAAGAACACGCTTCAGTGAATAGACTTTTCCAAATAAAAGACTGTAGATTACGTTACGTAACGTTATCTAGACGGGCTCAGGGTTAATTTAGTTAAGGTATTATTACAGTTCAGCTTACTTACTAACAGATTTACTAACTTTAGTCTGTTACTAACCTCAATCACATATATAGGAAGCTTCGGTCCATTACAAAGCGAGCATAACATTAATGTAACTTGCATCAAATAGATGATTTAATTAACTTACAAATCAAACAAAATGTACCTTTGGAAACATATTAGCTAACTAACAACACACTAAAATACCGGTGCCTGCATCCCAGAGGAGAGAGATGGAGTGCTCATTCAGTTGTGAGTTCACAAGCTACGCAGTGATATAATTACCTTTCCTTCTTTTTAGTTCACATTGATCAGGAGTAGGAAAACATTTAGCTGAAAAGCAGTTGTTTTCTGTGGGTATTTTGAGTAAACTCTGTTAATATCAAGGTTGTATTATCACAGGCAAATAAAGGACATTTTTTTTCAGTTCATAACAATGTTGCTGTGTTGTTTGTCTCTTTTAGGAAGGGAAAAAAGATTCTTCCCCACAGCACAGGGCGACACTAGAGGCTCAGTCTGAGGGTTTAAAGGAAACTCCAAAAGCTCCCCCCTGCAAAAGAGACATGTCTGTAAAGAAGAGTGACACAACTGCTGATGGAGACAGTCACACCAAGGTCAGTTGCACATACGTTATCACACCACCAGATTTCTTTTAACATCTGTGAAAACATCTGTATCCACGTTACCTTTAAAAAAATTGGAATTCTTAAAATAGATTTACCTAATTTATGCTACAGACAAATCTCATGGTGTCTTTATAGGTGGCATTACTTTCCGTTTGGTGGTAGTACCATAAGTACTTAAACAACTTTGACATGCATTATATTCTTTTACATCTTATTTAATTTCCTGCCTTTTTAATTCCCCAGAAACCTTTCATTGAAGCACCAACCAGGGAGGAGATGCAAAGGAAGATCCAGGACAGCAAGGGAGAGGAGGAAAAGGACAAACAAAGGTCTGCTTTTAAGTCTTGGTCTTATGAAACACGTGTGTCTGTCAGATTTACTCGCACAGGGTAATGAATCTGTGTGCTAACAACACTAAAGTCTGCAGACTGTGAACACTGTGTCTAGTGATTGTATTGTCAGTATAGTCAACAGTGCATTTTTCAATTCAGCTGTTGCAGCAGCTAGTCATGACAGAAGTACCACAAATGTTGAAAGCACGTGAAATGTCAAAACTCGCTCTGGAAATGTCAACAAAAGGCAAGATTAAAAAGGCTTTCACAAATAACACTCAGAAGACATGTTTCCGATAAGATAAACGATGACATTGTAGGACCTGGTTCTGCGTATGTGCGTGTACGCAGAGGAAGCAAATGGCAAGCAGCTATTAGGTTCATTGACGAGTTAATGTACAGTTATAGTTACTCTCAACATGACATATTGTGGCACTCTCTTGACATTCTTTTTGCACTAGCTGATAGAAACACATACTGGTTGACATTTTCTTCAGATTTCATTTTTACATTTGCTTAAAACGTTTTTTCATGAAAACATTACGCATGTATGAGAGGTTAGTGAAGCCTTGCATGAAGCCTACAGGGAAAAAGTTGTAGGCATATTTGACCAGTTCTAGAGTTGACATACACAGGATCAGCTCCACATTGAACAAATAGTCACCACACTATTCTGCAGAAATAGGTTGTTGTGAGGATTCATACAGTGGGCTCTAAAGGCTCTAAATGCTAGGCTCATAAAAATCCAGAAGAATCCAGATGTCTTTTAGGATGCAGGTGTAATATGGTCAAAACTGGAATCACCTGCAATATTGTTTGAAAACGTCTCTGGCTATTTTTACATTATTTCATAAATGATGAAATAAAAAAAACCTTGGTAGTTCAGTTTGGACTCGATGGTATTTATCTTGTTCCCATGAAAGTGCTGGACAGTGTAAACATGTTAGGATCATTCTGTGGGCACTGCTGTATGTTGCTGTCAACCACTGAACACAGACTCCCCATTAGAGCCTGGGAATCAGTTCGCTTGTGAATGTGATAAAACGGTGTCAGAAGAGGTGCGGGGTATTGAATTTCCCATCAGGCGATTGATGAGACTGCCTTGAAGCCGGTGTGGCTGAGAAGATGCGGGTCCTTTTAATATGCGATCCCTTTTTTTTTCTTTTTTTTTTCTCCCTCATTCGTTGCAACATGGCTGTGCTCCGTCGATGGCTTTAGCTGGCGATGCCGGCCTGTGGCTCTCCATACAGCGGCTCAGCTAAACAACAGGCGAGGGTTTGTCCGTCGCGGGTTTTGGTTGACAGCCGGTACGGACATGAATGCGTTCAGATGAGGAGTCGTCTCTGGTGGGAGGAAGGTGGGAGGGAGGGGGGAGAGAGAGAGAGAGAGAGGTCTCGTTGCGACGCAGTCGTTTCAACAGCAGTCGCAGCCTGTATGCTGCGTTTTAACCCAGACCAGTTTGTCTCTTTTCCGTGAAGTTGCCCAAGTTAATGTAAGTCGGGATGAGTGGACGTGTTCACGTGTGCGCGCATGAGGATGACATGAGAACGTGAGGCGCGCTCATTCGTCAGGTATTGTGTAGCTGTACTTGAGCGTTTGGTGGTCTGGACGGACTCTGCACGTCTGAAGGGGGACTGCGGTGGCTCTGCATTTCTCACTCTCCTCCTCGGCTCAGTTCTTTGACCCCCATCGAAATAAAATGAGAGCGTAGTATTGGTGAAATGACGAAGTGAAGGTGGTCTTCAGGCGCCGTTGTTAGAGCGTCACCTGGCTGCTCTTGGTGTATCTCAGTGGAGTAATTTAAACTGCTGAGATGTTTTAATATGTTTTTAATGCTACCTCGTGGTTTCTTTTTTCTTTTTTTTAATATCTACGCTTAGGGCTCCATGATTTCTTATACACATGTTAAATGTAGTCAGGAAAATAAAATAGTAGTGCTTTTGCATGCTTAGCTCATATAACTACTTGTTATGTGTGCATCATGTAATTGCTGATACATTACTAATGATTACATACTCTTGTTTGCGAGGAACTTTTTTTAAATTCATAAATCTGACATAACTTTTATTTTTAGTGGTATTGACATATTTAACTTAATATTATGTTAAATTGCTTCTATAAAATGATTAACTTATGCTGTTGCATTTCTTATGCCTCGATCACTTTTTGTTATTACCTGATTTTAAAAATGACTTTAATATATAATATTTTCTTCTCTATCCTAATAGTCACCTGTTCACTCTTTTCCTGCTGATATGTGTGTGTTTCACTCTAAGCAGGCAGGCGAAGGAGACTGCCATGTCAGAGCCAGAGAAGCTTCCAGAGACCAGTGAGGAGGTAAGGCACCAGAAGAACCATGAATCATCTTGGTCCTCAAAGCTGTTGGTGACTGAGGACTTAAATGGACGGACCCATTGAACCTTTATAATTGAATCTCTGATTTTCACATAGTTTGTGTTAACCTGGATACATTACAGTATAGGTCTATATTCGTTGTTGGAAATCCTTTCTTTACATTTAAAAAATACTTCCACTAGATGACCTTATGAGCCCTTTTCACAAGTGGTAGAATGTATGTAGGAAATTACATTTCTTAGTTTGGCTGTTTTGTAAAACCTTTGTTGGCACTGTCATAGGCAGAAACAGCAAGGGCATTTTCTCACTGTGGCTGATGTTTAAACCCCAAATGATTGCTTTGTTATAAAGGTGCTCATGCCTCTTCCATTGCCCCTTTTGGTACCTGCATACTACCTCTGCCACTACTACTACTTCTACTACTACTACTGCTACTGCTGCACCTGTTCCACTGTCCCCAAGAATCCAGAGTTGACCACAGATAAGCCCCCAAGGCTGCACTGCAGAGGGACATCCCTGGCAACAAAGGCTGCCTCATTTTCATGGATATGGCCTGCGAGAGCCATTGATTGGACCTGAAGATTTAAAGAAGGGGTTGGCCAGTCAATGTGGCCCACCTCTCTTAGTCTTTTATCCACTAATCTGGCCTTGTGCCCTTAAAATCGACATGGAGAAGAGACAAGCAAAGATATGTGCTCACATCAAGTCAATGCTGCTGTGAAACCCTCTCAACAACTGAGTAGTTTTAAGATTGTTTCACTTTGTGACATTTTTAACCCACTGTCAAAGAAATGTGGGTTATCATGGACACGTCTTAATGTGGTTGGTGAACTGTAACAAGCATGACAAAGGACAATTTGGATTTTGTTAATCTCTTGGAATGGGATTGAGATTTCTCCAGCAAATACCCTCATTGGATACTAAATGAGTTTGCAAAGAGGCCAAAGCTTTTATCTGGACTCAATGGGCTTGATAGTTTTTTCTTATCTGAACTGAAGAAGGACTTCTACCCCTTCCACAACAGCCATCGCCAGATTTTTGCTACTTTGTGACTCCCACTATGAACTTACTGCGCCCCAAACACAACTGAACATTAAAATAATTATCCTGGATTTGTGTGCACAGTGACTGTTGACAACATTCAGCATCTGGTCTCCAGCTCATTGGACTCATTGCTTCTATCTGTTGTTATAAGAGCCTGCCACATTTTTAAAAGGACTAATGCCAAAACACCTGAGGATGACTGCTTTGGCTTAAAGAAATTCAAAGCCCTTACCCCAATGAACTATTGAACCCATCCTGCCAGCCAGCCTGCTTTCAGATTACCATCCAAACATCTCAGCCACCTTTGATTGGACCCTTGTTGCCTAGATACAGTACATGCAGTCGTGATTGGGCCATATCCAAACCAGTAAGGATCAGGTGTCAGTGGTACCAGGGAATAAGTAGATGTTTACTCAATGTTATATTTCATAGTTATTTTGAACATGCTTAGTTCCAGTCATACTCTCTCTGTAGTCTTTGCTGGGAGAAGCAGCATTTTTAAAAATGTTTATCATATTTGTGGCTACTGCAGTTTAATCAGAATTGTTCTAAACATATGTTTTTATAACTTTTTAATTAAAGGTGAATTTCATTTATGTGAAACTAATTGGAATCCATGTGTCTATTCAGATACAATGAAAATCATAAAATGCTTGAATTTAAACTGCAGTATTTCCACCAGAACCATGTTTGTATGATAGAGACTGCAACTATAGTTTACTCTTCAAAAGCAAGTTATGTTTAATAATCTATAGGCGCAGATTACCAAATAATTATGAATGGTACGGGCTTAAATTACCAGTACAGTCCAAAAACACAGCTCGGTGCCATTCAGTAAACTTGACTTTGAAAAAGACTTTGCACAGCAGTTTCTATCATTCACTCTCTTTCAGTCCCCACGTGTCCCCCTTCCTGTTATTGTTCCACCTTTCCTCCAACCTGACCTTGACCATTTGTCTCCACCCATGGTGTCTGCCTCTCACCTCTCCCATGTATCTTGGGTTGTTTTTATCTTCTTGTGTTTCAGACACCAAAGGCCTTCTCAGCTCGTAAGATCTCTCTTAGCAGTAAGTGCCCCCTCCTGACTCTGCTCTACCAGCATTCACAACTGATCATTAGTGTTGATGATTAGTTCCTCTTCCAGCTCATTATATTAGCCTTTTCATTTTGTATAATGTATGTATTAAAAAACCTTAAATAATGTAGATTTTAATCATCAACTATATTTCAAAAATATGTGGCCAAAAGATTTATGTGTGCATAGATTTGTTATGTCACGTACGCTTGTATTGCCTATGCCATGTGCCCGAGGACTCAATGAGTTGTTGTTTTTTTCTCCTCTTACAGGCAGTAAATCGTCCCCAGGCACTGGCAGTGCAGAGGGCGATCAGGAGTCTGGGGCCGCGGCAGGTCGCAAGAGGAGGTGGGGCTCCAGCACAGCTGTCACTGCCAAGAAACCTTCCATCAGCATCACCACAGATTCACTCAAGGTATTTGCAGTGTAGTGTAGTTGACGTTGTGGTTGCTAATAATACTCTTGTTTACGCATAGATGCACTCTTGTGCCTCTGTCTTTTATGTTAAATATAGCAGGCCCTTGTGTATGATCTGTTTACTTTGCCTTCAGTCTCTGATCCCTGACATTCGGCCGTGTCTCGGCCAGGAGGCAGTAGTGGACCTGCACCCGGAGGAAGCTGTCCTTTCTGGGGCTGAGGATGAAGAGAGGGAGCGCTCTGACCAGGACCTTCAAATCCGACGCACTGTAACACAGGTTGGTCTACAACTTTTAGCTGTTTTACATGAATGACAGGTTAGGAATTGTCTTTATTGTGAAATGTAACATGGTTACGTTAATCTCAAAATCAAAAATTGTTTGTGTTGATGGCTTCTTTCTATTGCAGGTGGTGCACTCAGAGAACCAGGAGAATGGACAGAAAGAGGCAAAGAGGAGCCGACATGAGGAACTGGAGGAGGATGACCTGCGGGGAGATGGAGAGAGGACAAGGGAGCATGAAGAGAAGATGGACACCTCATTTCCTGAAGCCATGGAAACCCAGTCTCCATCACAAACCAGCCATGATGTAGAAATCAACACTGGTAATGAATCCATCACAAGATGTTCTTTATCTAGCATTAAAACTGTCAAAATTAGTTCCTGAAATTCCATTTAGAAATTGTTTTAACTTTACACTAACTTTTACAATGGTCTTTTCTAATAACACAACAATAGATAATACATAATCTACATACTCTACTTTACATGGTGCATTTAAATATGTTAATGTTACTATAAAGACGTGTCAGTGTAATGGAGATGCTATATTGGCCATTCTTTTTTTTTTTTGTATCTTAGTGACCCCCAGCGACACCCTCATTCGTCGCTCCATCAGCCAGCAGAAAACAGGAGTTTCCATCACAATCGATGACCCTGTTCGTACGGCTCGGCAGCCCTCGCCACCTCGTGGCAAAGTCTCCAGCATCGTTCACATCAGCAACCTGGTAAGAGAACATTATCCCACTTTATTATTAACTGTGTGCACTGAATCAGTGCTGTATAATGCAGCACTGATGGAAAAAGCAACCAAACAAGTAGCACAGCTGATTGTAATGCTGGGTTATGTGAAGTTGTTGCCCCTGAGTGCAGGCATATACCCATAAGCTGACCCAGCCTCAGTTTGCTGTTTTTATCTCATCCAAAATTCAGTAGAAAGGTTCCTGTACACTGAAGAAACTACAATACAAGAAGAAACAAGCACATTTGACCTATTTTAGAAGCTGAAAGTCTTATTTTTGTCTTTTTGTTATTATCAACGAATCCTATGTAAAGACCAAAATCAACCAGTCACCTCATGAATGAAAGAGCAATACAGGTTGAATTGGTCGGCAGCATTCCTCCCAGCAGTATAAAGTACTTGCCCAAGCATACGCTGTGATGAAGAATGCAGTTGCAAGATTGATCCAGAACAAACACTGCCTATGTTCACTAATGAAGGTGCAACAGTATGACTGTTCTTTGTTTTTAATTGTTTCTGGAGTTCTGTGGCTCAGAGGTTACGCAGACAACACTTTTCACACAGTTCAGTTCTTAAACAGTTTTTATTTCCATGTTATAGACTGTATATATTTGGATATGTATTGAGTTTCTTGTATGTTTGCTTGGTATTTTTGCTCACAAGTGCTCTATATTTTGTGTAGGTGAGGCCATTCACTCTGGGGCAACTTAAGGAACTGCTCAGCAGAACTGGCACCCTGGTGGAGGAGGGCTTCTGGATCGACAAAATAAAGTCTCACTGCTATGTCACTGTGAGTTACTACAAGCATGTGTTTTCAGATAGAGGACTGCAGCTCTAAACCAGACTGATTTTTGACCTGTTGAAGGTTCTTCTGTGTCTCATGGAGCTATCCTCTTCTCTCTGTGTTCAGTACTGTAGCTCAGACGAGGCAATTGCTACACGGGCAGCTCTTCATGGAGTGAAATGGCCTCAGAGCAACCCAAAAGTCCTTAATGTAGACTTCTGCCAGCAGGATGAGGTAAGACTGAGTTGTTATCAGTATGTTTTTTTTTTTCCTCTTACACCCACAATGCATAGCCATCTGTAGCCTGAGCATGTCTCTGCTTTTGTAGCTGGACTTCCATAAAGGCTTGGGTGCAGCCGACAGACCTGGAGCAGAGGAACAAGGGCCTGGCGCCGGCCGTGGTCGAACGTCAGCCCTGCCCTCTCTCCTCCCAGAGAGAGACCAGTGGGCCGAACGTGAGCGTGAGATGGAGCGCAGAGAGAGGGCCCGAGCAGAGCGGGAGTGGGATCGCGACAAGGTCAAAGAGTTTGGGAAACCTGGAGAAGAGAAAGAGGGGGGTCCCCGGAGGTCGCGATCCAGAGAGAGACGACGCAAGGAGAGGGGAAAGAGCAAGGAGAAGAAGACTGAGAAGAAAGGTAAAAGATGCGGGGGTTTTTTGTCTACGGTGATGGTAAATTGAATATCTTCGTTGGTTGGATATAACAAGTCAGTTGAAGACGGCAACTTTGTCATTTTTCTAACTTTTTAAAAACCAAGTAATTAATTCAGATAGAATTGGCTGAATAATTGATGATAAATAAAATTATTAGTTATTGCTGCAGCCCTAATATTGTTTATGTCTTTGGCAGAGAAAACAGCTGAGGATCCTCCCGCAAAGCTGCTCGATGATCTGTTCCGCAAAACTAAAGCTGCTCCTTGCATATACTGGCTTCCTCTTACAGAGGAACAGGTGAGACACGAACCAGTTTATACTCTGTGTGTTGCTGTTAATACATAACTCTCAGGTACATGGCCTAGATATCTAATTTAAGTCTTGCTCTGTGCATTCTTTTTATTTTAGTTTGTTCAGCGGGAAGCTGCCAGAGCTGAACGCATGAAGGAGCGCGAGAAACGGAGGAAGGAGCAAGACGAGGAGGAGGAGAAAAAAAGGGAAGAGGAGCGCAAGGAGAGGATGAAAGCCGGAGGCGGCACAGCAGGAGAGCGGAGTGAGGGTGAGAAGGACAAGGACAGAGAGAGGGACAGAGACAGAGACCGAGGTAGAGACAGAGACAGAGAGAGGGAGAGGGAGAGGGAGAGGGAGAACGACAAACGCAGGGATAGCTACCGTAGGCCGGGGGGCAGCGGGGCAGGTGGGGGGCGGCGCTCACGCAGCCGCAGCGACCCGCGAGAAAGGCGGCGTTAATGGCCAATCAACTGATGGAACTGTCCTAGAGACCACCCTCTTCCATTTGCCTTTCACTACATGTACTTTGTTACAACTAAGACCCAACAGAGGACCAACTGATGTCGTCACCATCTCTCAAATTGTCACCTTTTTTAAAGCACATCTACACCTACACCCAGTCAAGCTTAAAGGGGACCATGATTTTTTGCAGTGTTGTTTCCCAGAGTGCTGTATGTCTTGCTCCTGTCAAGGTTTGATATTTTCTTTATATTTTTGCCTCTTTTTTTTTTCTTTTTTTTTTTTCTTTGGTTTTTGTCTTGACGGCATAGCAGTATGGCACGCTGGGTTGTTTTAATAATTTCTCCCAATGCTCCCCATTTGCCCCAAAGTGTAGGTGCCAATTATGATTTGCAATCATTTGTTGTCGCCTCGGTGTTTAACAGCTCTGCAATTTGGATGAGGAATCCTTTTGTTGCTGCATGTAGTCCAAGGCTCTCCTTGCCAGTCCTGCCTAAAGAGAAAACTCAGCCCTCTGTGCAGAGGCTTGCAGAAATCTAAAAATATTGGAATAGGTGTGTTTGGCATTTTGTACAGACATATAAGATTACTCAAAATTAAGTCTTTAAATGAGGCAGCTTTGGGGTATTTTTGGACAGGTGTGGAATAACTACTAAGGCAATGCAGTGTTCCTCTCTCCCTCCATTTAGTTAAGAGATGAGATGATTCTCTCGGGGGGAGAATCTGTCTGTCACACCTGACACAAGTTATGATTATGTCCTTATCATTGATTCTCTTCTTCCTCCCTCCTCTTCCTCCAGTTCTCTTACCCTGTAGTGTCTATACAGGCCCAAGAGGGGAGGTTGCATTATGAGTTTTCTCACCAATGGTTTTAATATTGTTTTTTAATCATTATTTTATCATTTTAGTACCAAGGTTTGTTTTGCGTTTTTTAATTTCTTCTTTGAGTACGCCTATCAGTGGTGAATGTACAAATAATAAAAATTGAAATTTGAAATAATTGTGACGTTTCTTTTCCAATCTCCTCGCTGACGAGGTTCGTAGTGTCATTTCTCGGTTGCTCCTGGGGATGACGGATCAAAAATGTAACTTCTTACTAGTTACTGGGAATAGCTTGACTCAAGTACACATTTTACAAGTTAAATCTGCGGTTACACTTAGAGTCCACAAGGTGTCAGTCACACCACGTTGTGGCCCCGGTCAGTCATTCGACACAAGGAGAATGACTTTATACAGTCCAGTTGAAACTAAGAACAATAAAGAAGAGAATGCTTAAAATGATACACTGATCTGCCAGAAACTTCTCTCTGTATTGGATTGGATTCAGTGCCATGTCAAGGTGACGACCAATGGCATTTTCTTTCATTCAACATTTTTTCTAATCTTGTGGTTCCCTCCGAGTTGGGAGTGTTTACCCTCTGTACCCTTCCCTCTGTTTGCTGTAAATCATGTATTTGCCCTCTTCCCTCTTGTGCTCCCTTGTTCCATCTCTCCAGTCTTGACGTTCATCCTGCAGAGCTCAGCAGTGCTCCTATGTAATTACAGCCCTATGGTCGCTGAGCATAACATTTTTCTGCCCTGATGCAACTCTGTGTGTCTGGACTCTGTGAAGACCAGTGAATCCTTCACCCTGGCATCTATCTGGCAGCCCAAGAACAGATTTCTATGAGTGCTGGAGAAAGATTCTGTCTTTTCTCTCATTACTGTTTATCTTATCATGCAGAAAGTTGATAAGTTAAACATTAGGGCAAAGCGATGATGTGTTTGCTGAATGGAAAGTTAGAAGAGATTGTTTATCTTGAGTTTGAGGGCAGTTGAGTGTGTTCAAGTAAAAAGCAGGACTTTGGTAAAACACGGAAGGCAAGTGAATGACTGTCAGCAAGCCTACAATATTGAGCCAATGAGTTTCTCAAACAAAATGTCATTCAGATCTACCACAGTCATATTCATCTCACACAAAACACCTTTACTGTTGGATGGACAACATGTTGCCAGGGGCGGGTTACAGATGTGAGTGTGGGATTAGAGGACAGTGCTCACGGTTATTAAAATCAAATCAAATGACGAATTCACTCAGCAGATTTCATATAATGTACCAGTTTGTTTATGAGCTCCCTTGTAAAAAATGTTGACAAAGGCCCAAGTCTGGCAGTAAAGGAGGATCGCTGGAGAGATGTCATCCTCTGGAAAACATAAATGAATGATGTCAATTTCAGCAATGCATCATTTAGTTTTGGATGTGTGTAAAATTTGAAGATTTGACTTAAACTTGCATTAATTGAGGTTGTTTGACAGCTGAAAACCACACGTAAAGGTTGTTTCCACCAATTTGCACAGACTTTTTTAGTCTGACAGTCAGGAAGCAGCATAAACAAATGACTAAATACACTAGACAACACACTGACCGACTGGTCAATGACTGGAGTTCTGGCAATGCCACAAATGACCAACTGACCATAACAGCAGCCTAACAGTGTCCCTCCCTCTACAGGAAGTAACAAAATCTCATACAACCTCCTCAAGTCAGCAAATTGCCTATCCCACCAAAGAGAACTCCTTTAACTTATCCAACTCAAGGTACTACTATGAAGACTTTTAGTTTGCTCATTCCATGTTGTGAATACTGCAGTCTTAAAAATTCAACGCTCAAAACCGCCTACTGCAGCTTTACCCGAGGATAAGCAAAGTTCTCTCTGTTCAGCTCATGCCCAGGAAGGGTAGTCATGGACCTGCCCAGTTCTGTGGAATGCCACATTTGGTAAAGATCTTCCCCAGCAAATCTAACAGCTGGACAGCCCTGTGTCCACAGATGAAGGGATGACTCAAAACAAATTTTCTACAATTGTGAGGCTTTCACGAAACCACTAGTGACGTGTCGGACCACAGCAGACCACCTGTGTCTGGTGCAGAGCTCAGGTCAATGCTAAAGGCCTCCATGACCGTCCAGTCAGCTGAGCAAGGCCACTCTTATGCTGATGAGTGGGCAGTAAAAACAATAAGTTTTCGCTCTGTAAGCAGCCCCCCCCTCGCCTGCTCTTCTCCTCCCAGCGCTCCCCTCCTCAGTGTAACCACATAGGTCTTTGTGTCCAGCACTGTTAGGAACTCAGCATTGAGGCCCACTAAGCTCCACTTTCAAAGGCAACCTCTGATGTGGCCTTTCTGATCTCTGCATGTCTCACTGACTTTCCTCTTACTCTCCTCTGACTTGGGAGTTTTTCTTTCTGTCTGTATCCTATTTAGCCATGGTTTCCCTCGCTGTTGCTCTCCCTCACACATGCATAGTTGCTCTTATAGATTTCCTTATAGTCTAACTGAAGGGAAGCTGGCCCATGTCATGAAAACATATGTGAGAAGAGTTTGGAGAGATGATGAAAGGCAGCGATATCTTGACAGTCAGCCTTAACACTCCTTGGAAGTTCAAGCTTCCCTTGATACATACACACCCTTCCCCCTCCCCGCCTTTCCTCCCCCCTCCTCTTCTTTGTGATGACATGTATGTGCTTATGGAAACCAGATGTGCAGTGTTGCAGGGAAAGAGGCGATGAGAGAAAGAGAATAACCAAGCATGAGGTTGTATAATACTTCATTAACAGACTGCAGGAGATGTGGGGAGGCTGAGGAGGAGGAATACATATATAATCAATTTAGGAGTTCAGACAGCCACTGTGTATATATTTAGATGCCCACTATCCTGACCAGGCTCTGAGCGAAGCAGGGGGGTTTCCTTGTGGATACGGCTGGGTCAGGGCAAGGGTAGCTGGGCTTGTAGAGCCTGAATCAGCATCTCCTATGATAGAAGTGTTTTTCTGCGGGGCTTGGGAAACCACGGCATATGAGACAGGGGTTCGGGGAAAAAAAAGCAACCTAAAGAAGTTGAAATGTTGTTTGTTTAACTTCCTTGCACCTGTATTTTTTTCACCCACACAATACCTCCCTCCTCAAAAGAGACGGCTCCCACCGCACCACACCCAATTCAAAGTGCAGACATTGTGTTAAGTGTAACAAAAGCAGGCACGTAGCTCATAACTGGTAGCCTTAAGCAGACTCAGCACTGAGGGGGCAGACACTGGCAGAACTGCATGGCTAAGATCACAGTGTAAAAAATACACAATACAACAGACAACACTGAGATTGGGGCATCTGGGGCACACACAAAAAGTTATGTTTGGCTAATGGGGAAAATAATTTTCCACGCATAGCTCCATGTGTAGCTAAATGGAATAATAAGATGCAGACACAACGGAAAAAAGTATTAGGTATTGATCCCTCTCAGTGTATACCACAAGTAAACCCTGTGTGTGTGTGTGTGTGTGTGTGTGTGTGTGTGTGTGTGAGAGGAGAGAGAGAGACTGCTCTTGCACCCATAAAGTAAGATTCTATCTATCTATCTATCTATCTATCTAATCATCATCTATCTATCTACTCTATTCTAATCTATCTATCTATCTATCTCATCCTATCTATCTACCTCTATCTATCTAGTCACCTGTTGTCTCTTTTTTTTTTTTACAAGCTCCCAGCACATCAAACAGTGTCACATTTTTAAGAGATGAAGACAGCAGACAAGTAGATTAAGTCTTTTATAGAAAATACAGGAAGGAGTGGTGGAATGGTGAGATGGTGGCTGGCTGAAGGTTGATGCCAAGGTGTAGGGGGAGAACCCTGGGACTGAGGGCTGGCTGATGGCAGATTGTGAGGCAGGCAGGCAGGTAATCCTCATGGCAGGGAGAATAGTCTTACTGACGGTCAGGCAGACAGACAACCAAATATCATCAAATCAGAGGATCTTTAAGTTATTTTGTTGGTGGTGCCTTCCCTTTTAGGCCTCTTCTGACAGCTTTTGTTCTCTTCTATGTAGATTTTTGCCCGTGTCAGTTTTGTATGACTCTACATTTATTTACAATGCAGGTCGACTTTTTGATCTAGCACTACTCCAAGTATGAAAAAAATAGTGACCAGTCAGTATTTGCCATTAATAGACTCAGTCAAATTCACTGCATGTTTGTTTGTTTCAGTTTTAACGATCATTGAGCTGCAAAATGAGATATGGGACCTTCAGAAAAAGGCTGGCGATGAGACCACTAGTGGCCGTATAAAAGGTTAGTCTCATTTAAATGCCAGTGCCAGTGAAATTATTTGAGAAATTAAATCACTGACTAAATATGGTTTACATTAAAAACTATTTACTTTTTCCTAGCGTTGCAAAACAGAGTGGATGGCCTTATGACTGAAATAGACGACACAGACGGCAATAACACAAAACTGGGTGAGTTTGAAATAATTTAAATTTAAATTTAAATTTCTTACAGTATATTTTGTAGTTAGCTACATTATCACCCTCTCTGTTGTCATGCGCCGCAGTCCTGAAAATCATAACCCTGCAGAGTCAGGTGGAGCAGCTGAAGAGACAGTTGTCTCAGGCCACTCAGGCTACCCGTAAGTATCACATTTAATCAAAAGGTTTACAGCTGGTTGAACCGAACTGTATTATAAAACAGCAGACAGTGTAAGATATGTCAAGGATGCAAGCAAGTTATCACATGACGCAAAGGTTGGCTGTAATACTAGTGTGTTGCATTTCATTAGTCCCAGAGCTCAGAAGTGATCTTGAGACGACAAGGAAAGAGCTGCAGAAATATGTCAACGAGCTGAATGAGAAGAATCAGACAAATGCCAGGCTGAGTAAGTAAAAAGGGAACAGGGTGCCTGTGTTCATCACTGAGAAATTGTCTGAAATATATTTATTTACAATAGATTATTTCTGTGATTCTCAGTTCTTACAGTCACTGGTCTGCACAAGCAACTCGGAAACCTAGAAAACGAACGACGCAATGATAACACAACGTCTTCTTTAACAATTACTCGTAAGTATCTCATTTTCTTCTAAGATCACTGAATTCACTTCATGAATATCTTCTGTTTGATAATATAAAGCAAAACTGACTCTTCTAGACCTGAGGGAGCAACTCAAGGCAAACATGGAGGAGCACTCTCATGATCAAGCTAAGATCAAGGGTAAGCTGTGAACTCTATTGATTATTAGAAGTGATGTATGAGTAAACTGGTAATGCTCTACGGTATTGTTTTAAATCAGCTCTTCAGGCTCTGCTGCAAGCCGAAGAAAGGGAACAAGCCATTGCTCAGGCTGAGGTCAGAGGTGAGTTGAGGGTTTTTACAAATAGGATTTTTATAAGTGAGACTCCTCTGAAGGGTGAGCTTTGAAGACCTGGCTTCCTCTTTTTACACAACAGAGCTAAAGAGAAAGCTGAGATTAAAGAGTGAAGAATGCACTGGACTTGAGGAAAGATATAGAGGTAAATTGTAAACATGAGTTCAGCTAAAGGCTCTAAAGATTCAAGTTTTCATGTTAGTTCTTAATTGGGTTATTTGTGTGTGCTTTTATCAGAGGTAAAGACTGAATTTGAACAGAAGATTGCAGAGTTGAACAGAACCGCAGACTCCAAAGCGGCACTCAGTGAGTGAAATTACAATGCAGTATTTCCATTATAGCCTCAGTATAGTGACATGTTCACATAGATAAAAACTATTAACTTTACATCTCCTGCTCAGTTTGTTTGAGAAGTATACACTGTGTAGTGATGTTTGCTCTGTTTATTCGGGTCAGTTCTGACCATGATAAACCTGCATGATGAGCTGAATACTCTGAGGGAACTGATCTCCACCAGCGGTGACCCGGAGAGGATCGCAGGTGAGTAGCAGTAGTCACAGTGAATGTTTTTTTCTGCCTCTTCCAATTTTGACTGTCATCACTAGAATTTCCCTCAGGATAACAGTCCATTATGGTAAGTGCGCCTCTAAAAACAGCTTTTAGCCCTGCATTTGCTTACTTGCTTACTTTCTTAAGATGTAAACAGGTGACTTCAGATCTT